GGTGATGTGATCATGTGATACAGACAGAAAAAAGGCTTTTGATCTGTCTAAACCAAACTATGGTGATGTGATCATGTGATACAGATACAGAAGAAAAAAGGCTTTTGATCTGTCTACACCAAACTATGGTGATGTGATCATGTGATACAGACAGAAAAAAAGGCTTTTGATCTGTCTACACCACACAGTGGTGATGTGATCATGTGATACAGACAGAAAAAAGGCTTTTGATCTGTCTACACCACACTGTTATGTTGTGATCATGTGATACAGAAAGGCTTTTGATCTGTCTACACCACACTGTGGTGTTATGATCATGTGATACAGACAGAAAAAAAAGGCTTTTGATCTGTGTACACCACACAGTGGTGATGTGATCATGTGATACAGACAGAAAAAAGGCTTTTGATCTGTCTACACCACACTGTGGTGTTATGATCATGTGATACAGACAGAAAAAAAAGGCTTTTGATCTGTCTACACCACACAGTGGTGATGTGATCATGTGATACAGACAGAAAAAAGGCTTTTGATCTGTCTAAACCAAACTATGGTGATGTGATCAAGTGATACAGACAGAAAAAAGGCTTTTGATCTGTCTAAACCAAACTATGGTGATGTGATCATGTGATACAGACAGAAAAAAAGGCTTTTGATCTGTCTACACCACACTGTGGTGATGTGATCATGTGATACAGACAGAAAAAAAGGCTTTTGATCTGTCTACACCAAACTATGGTGATGTGATCATGTGATACAGACAGAAAAAAGGCTTTTGATCTGTCTACACCACACTGTGGTGTTGTGATCAAGTGATACAGACAGAAAGAAAGACTTTTGATCTGTCTACACCAAACTATGGTGATGTGATCAAGTGATACAGACAGAAAAAGGCTTTTGATCTGTCTACACCACACAGTGGTGATGTGATCATGTGATACAGAAAGGCTTTTGATCTGTCTACACTACACAGTGGTGATGTGATCATGTGATACAGACAGAAAAAAAGGCTTTTGATCTGTCTACACCACACAGTGGTGATGTGATCATGTGATACAGACAGAAAAAAAGGCTTTTGATCTGTCTACACCACACAGTGGTGATGTGATCATGTGATACAGACAGAAAAAAAGGCTTTTGATCTGTCTACACCACACTGTGGTGATGTGATCATGTGATACAGACAGAAAGAAAGGCTTTTGATCTGTCTATACCACACTGTTGTGTTGTGATCATGTGATACAGAAAGGCTTTTGATCTGTCTACACCACACTGTTATGTTGTGATCATGTGGTGTGATCATGTGATACAGATACAGAAAAAAAAGGCTTTTGATCTGTCTACACCACACAGTGGTGATGTGATCATGTGATACAGACAGAAAAAAGGCTTTTGATCTGTCTACACCACACAGTGGTGATGTGATCATGTGATACAGACAGAAAAAAGGCTTTTGATCTGTCTACACCACATAGTTGTGATGTGATCATGTGATACATACAGAAAAAAAGGCTTTTGATCTGTCTACACCAAACTATGGTGATGTGATCATGTGATACAGACAGAAAAAAGGCTTTTGATCTGTCTACACCAAACTATGGTGATGTGATCATGTGATACAGACAGAAAAAAAGGCTTTTGATCTGTCTACGACAAACTATGGTGATGTGATCAAGTGACACAGACAGAAAAAAGAAACTATTGTGATGTGATCAAGTGATACAGACAGAAAAAAAGGCTTTTGATCTGTATACACCAACTCTATGGTGATTATGTGATCATGACGTTGTGAGTTTACTGTAAAATCATTCATTTTCATCGTGGTATTATTTTGCTTCACTATTTCTCCTCAATATTTGAACTCAGTCATGGCGTGCTTTTGTTTTTTACTTGGCTATTCTTATCTTAAATCCCGAGATTGCTGAAAGTTGTATTACGATTTATATAAATTTGATCAAACTGATTTATACAAATCGTTATGTTAAGTGGCAGTACATTCAATTAAGACACAGCCGTCGACATAAATTTTAACTCGGTAAAGTAAAATCAGAGAAACTATCTACGTTGCATAAACTACTATTGTTTTCCTACATTTTTAAAAACAAATTGTTAAATGTGGCCTTCAGGAAAAAAATCGTCAGGGGGTCTATATTTTTAGAATGGAAAGTGGGGTGAAATTTTCTGTGCATGAAGTTTACAATGTACGGAACACCAATAAAGTTTTACCTGGTATTCAGGTTTTTATCTCTTATTACAAAGGTTAGTAGACAAGGCAATGTAACGATAAAAATGTCATTACCATGATACGGTCTAGATTGTTCGGGATATAGCATATATGGTTCATCTGACACCAAAAAGAGTAAAGCATTTTACGTAACTCCATACTATCATGTTGTAGTAGAAATGTATTTCCAGTTATCTCCCTTTGTAAGAGATACATGGAATTGGTCAAGACAAAACCTGGTTTGGATATAGGAAGATATTCTCCAGCTAAGAACTGTAACAAAATAACTTTTGTGTTGTATATCTCCAGGGTGGAATACATTAAGAATAAACAAATTTACCGGTTACTTGTAATGAACATGATATAGTTGATATGTTTGATCAGTATCGCACCAGTTTACGCAATAACGAGATAGATTTTTTCAATCCATGGTAATGAATTAAAGACTACTTTTAAAGTGACTAACGCGGTGAATGTTACATGCAGTGTGTGTATGTGACTTTAAAAAAATGCCGATCGTCAAATATCTATATATTACATTGAGATTCCACACATCCATGTTTGAAAAATGTAACCGCGAGTTCTCGTCCCAGATGATCGTTCAAGTTTGCTCCTTGTAATACATGATATGTATGTACACAGTAACAAATGTAACCAGTGATGTTTGATCATCCTATCCATATACTACACTATTTATCATTGTAATTAATGTTTTGTACAGAATTTGAACACAAATTTAGAGTTAGATACAGTGTAGCAAAACGATGAATTGAACCGCATCACACAGCTGTTTCGTCCTTCTAGGACTCATCAGTGATGCTACATCACACAGCTGTTTTGTCCTTCTAGGACTCCTCAGTGATCCCAAGGGCTTAAATTGGAAGCGAAGGGGCGTCTGAGGTAAAGCTAAGATCTATCTACGGGAGGTGAAGTTGTCACCTGATGCAATAACGTAATACGAACCTAAATCGGCCTTCTGTTTACGCAGATGAAAAACAACATAGATATATTTTTCCAACATAGAGATCCAATAAGTAATCATCAATGTTGGTTACCAAGGTGATCATCAATGTTGGTTACTAAGAAATCATCAATTTTGGTTACCTAGGTGAGCTCCATGTTGGTTACTAAGAAATCATCAATGTTGGTTACCTAGGTTATCATCCATGTTGGTTACCTAAGTGATCATCAATGTTGGTTACCTAGGTGATCATCAATGTTGGTAACCAAATGATCATCAATGTTGGTAACCTAAGTGATTATCAATTTTGGTTACCAAAGTGATCATCAAGGTAGGTTACCTAGGTGATCATCCATGTTGGTTACAAAATGATCAACAATGATGGTTACCTAGGTGACCATCCATGTTGGTTACTAAGAAATCATCAATTTTGGTTACCTAGGTGAGCTCCATGTTGGTTACTAAGAAATCATCAATGTTGGTTACCTAGGTTATCATCCATGTTGGTTACCTAAGTGATCATCAATGTTGGTTACCTAGGTGATCATCAATGTTGGTAACCAAATGATGAAAAACAACATAGATATATTTTTCCAACATAGAGATCCAATAAGTAATCATCAATGTTGGTTACCAAGGTGATCATCAATGTTGGTTACTAAGAAATCATCAATTTTGGTTACCTAGGTGAGCTCCATGTTGGTTACTAAGAAATCATCAATGTTGGTTACCTAGGTTATCATCCATGTTGGTTACCTAAGTGATCATCAATGTTGGTTACCTAGGTGATCATCAATGTTGGTAACCAAATGATCATCAATGTTGGTAACCTAAGTGATTATCAATTTTGGTTACCAAAGTGATCATCAAGGTTGGTTACCTAGGTGATCATCCATGTTGGTTACAAAATGATCATCAATGATGGTTACCTAGGTGACCATCCATGTTGGTTACTAAGAAATTATCAATGTTGGTTACCTAGCTGATCATCCATGTTGGTTACTAAGAAATCATCATTTTTGGTTAGCTAGGTGATCATCCATGTTGGTTACCTAGGTGATCATCCATGTTGGTTACCTAAGTGATCTTCCATGTTGGTTACCTAGGTGATCATCAATGTTGGTTACCTAGGTGATTATCAATGTTGGTTACCTGAGTGATCATCCATGTTGGTTACAAAATGATCATCAATGTTAGTTAACTAGGTGATTATCAATGTTGGTTACCTAAGTGATCATCCATGTTGGTTACAAAATAATCATCCATGTTGGTTACCTAAGTGATCATCCATGTTGGTTACCTAAGTGATCATCCATATTGGTTACCTAGGTGATCATCCATGTTGGTTACAAAATAATCATTAATGTTAACTAGGTGAGCTTCAGTGTTGATTACCTAGGTGAGCTTCAGTGTTGATTACCTAGGTGACCATCAATGTTAGTTACCTCTTTGATCATCAATGTTGGTTCCTTAAGTTGAGTAGATCATCCATGTTGTTTACCTAGGTGATCATTCATAATGGTTACAAAATAATCATCAATGTTGGTTACTTAAGTGATTCTTAATTTTGGTTACCTAGGTGATCATCAAGGATGGTTACTTAAGTAATTATCAATATTGTTACCTGTTTATTTATTTCGGGGTTCCCAACACTTCTTTAGTCTGAAGTTGTGGTTCAGAATGATGCCATATGTATTTGATAAATGGAGATGTAACATTTAGTTTTAATAATTTCAGGAATCTTGGCATCATGATCAATATTTATCATTTTATTCTAACACAGGTAACGGTTATATTGACGTTGAGGAGTTTAAGATGGTTATAGCCAAGAGGTTATCAGACGAAGATACAGAAGAGGACATCAGAGAAGCGTTCAGTGTATTCGACAAGGATGGCAATGGTTACATAACACACAAGGACCTCCAGACTGTTCTCACAAAACTTGGGCTCGATATGGCAGTCGATGAGATCGAGGACATGATAACAGAGGCTGACAATGACGGTAACGGCAAAGTCAGCATAGAAGGTATGTCCACCAAACACAAGGCCCCACTTGTATAAAACATCTCAACTTGAGATTTCCTCAAGTCGAGATTTTCCTCAGCTGATATCTCCCTAAAAACGACTTGTATAAAATTTTCTCAAAGAACAGGAGGAAGTCATCGGCTAGTATGTCCTGAAATTCCTTGCGGAATTTTTATACAAGATCTTTTCAAGGAGATTTTAGCTGAGGAAAATCTCGACTTGAGGAAATCTCAAGTTGAGATGGCGCCTGGTGTTTACGCAGTAGTGTACTTCATGTTGTTTTTGGTGTATGTCCATTCCTGGAACTGACATTCCATACCTATCTTTGGACTTATTGTAATACAGACTGGATAGAGGTGTCATTGACTGTGAATATGTTTTTAAGCAATACTGTTTTAGTGTCAAGTAAAGGAAAGGATCGTTAAAGTTATTTTTCTTGGCTAAAGAAGAAACCATTAAGTATAGAGATTTTTTATACTTTGTAACACGACTTATAAAAACCTGATTATATTTTCATTTGTTGCAGAATTTGTTGAAATTATGCAACGACCGTAAGATGCATCCGAATGAAACATTTACTAAATCTACCATCACTGAAGTCTACACAGGAAGGATTGTAAAAGAGCCGCACGCGTTTCTTTTAGAATTATACAGCTTTGCTACCTTTTATGTGTCAAAGTCTTGTATTTGGATACTCTTTGGACATGTCTTCTAATTTTACGATAGCGAAACAGTTTATAAACAGTAAAATAGATTAATACATGTTAAGTTCATGTATCACCACCAAAATCGAGTATTTGATCTAGTTAATTTTCTTGAAAAGTTTAATTTGTATGTACAACTTGCTTGATGCAAAAACTTAATGTATATTACGATGTGGAATATATCGGCAGTATTACTTATTCATTTATGTATTTATTTATTCTTTTTTCTATTTCGTGTTATTTATCTATTTTATTTTTTGCGGGGTTATTGTCTAGATCATTTGCTCTGCTGATATACTAGACTATTTGTTTTAGTCTAAATGATCACTGTTTCTAGTACCCTAGATTATTTTGGGTTTTCCTTGCCTAGATCATCTGTATTTCCGATACCCGGTAATATTTGGGGTTTTGACATGACCTAGAACATCTGTATTTCCGATACCCGGTAATATTTGGGGTTTTGACATGACCCAGATCATCTGTATTTCCGATACCCTGTAATATTTGGGGTTTTGACATGACCCAGATCATCTGTATTTCCGATACCCTGTAATATTTGGGGTTTTGACATGAACCAGATCATCTGTATTTTCGATACCCGGTAATATTTGGGGTTTTTACATGACCCAGATCATCTGTATTTCCGATACCCGGTAATATTTGGGGTTTTGACATGACCCAGGTCATCTGTATTTCCGATACCCTGTAATATTTGGGGTTTTGACATGACCCAGATCATCTGTATTTTCGATACCCGGTAATATTTGGGGTTTTAACATGACCCAGAACATCTGTATTTCCGATACCCGGTAATATTTGGGGTTTTGACATGAACCAGATCATCTGTATTTTCGATACCCGGTAATATTTGGAGTTTTAACATGACGCAGAACATCTGTATTTGTTATACCCTATGTTATATCTCCAAACTGCTTGCCACAAACAATAAGAATGATCTATTATCGGGCGTGTGATGACTAGCTTTGGTACGTAATATGTATATAAGGTAATCTTATTGAACTAAGATAATAGAATAATCTGGGTAATGATATATAACTGGACAAGTTGAATGTGTTATTCAAAATAACACGCAGCTATGGCACAGAGGGAATGTGTTATATAATGCATCATGTAATTTACGGAACATAGATTTGAGTTATGATATGTGTGTTATTTATTTATGTTATGCTATGTTCCTTGTTTGTATGGAATAAAAAGAGTGTGTTATGGTTCATATCATGTAGTGGATGTGTCGTGTATTGCATTGATAACTTGTAGTTATTGTGATAAAGGATGTGCTTCTGATATGTATTATACAACTTGTAGGTGTGATAGTGAGGAGAGAAAATGTGATATATGTAGTTATATGTAGTTATCGAACCAAAAGAATGCATACAAATAAACATAAAGCATTAAGTACATAAACATGTCACTGACCAGCAAGAACCTCGAAGAATATGTAACACACATATTCCACGTGTAATGTTGTTTACTGTGAACAAGAGAATCCCTAGGGAACCTTGGAACTGTGTCGAAAACAAAGATTATGTAATGATAAGAACAATGTGTTTATTAATGTGTTTATTCAACAGTTAAATATGTTATATTATATAGCAATGTGATATTACACAGAAGAATGGGTTATTTTATATAACAATGTGATATTAAACAGAAAAATGGGTTATCTTACATAAAAATGGGTTATTACACAGAAGAATGGGTTATGTTATATAGCAATGTGATATCACACAGAAGAATGTGTTATGTTATATAACAACGTGTTATCTTAAAGAATCAATGTGATGTTATTCCTTTTATGGATTCGATAGGGAAAATGTTTCAGACAATGGAAGTATTTTGTAATATGTCGGTACCTATCCTAAAATGTTTGATGTTGTTGGAATAAATTGATGTTCATCATTCACTTCCGATAATTTCAAATTTTATTGAAAATGTTGTCTTTCTTGTATCCTTATTAATAATAAAATTATTTTGTCGAGTTCCCGTTCAACTGTTTTACAAAATGACACAGAGTCAACTATAAACGCCGAGGGTCAAATATAATTTACTATAGTATGTATGAGGAAACTTAGGTTTCCTCCAAACATCAAACTATAGACTTGAAAGTGGTCATTAATGGGCAAGTAAAGTAACAATAGATGTGCCTTTGGATGGATAAGAATAAGACAGAACGCTCAGTAACAAATGATTAGTAATCAGAGGTGTTTTTTATACGAATGATGTAAACGGAATAGGACAAAATGTTTGTAATTAGTTTGCATTAAGGGTATTAGAATTGTCTACACCAAAGACTGTGAAACAGACAACTTTCTTTGCGTAATCCTATCACAATACAAAAAAACGCTTTAAACTCTCACATAAATGAAATACTGCTAAACCAATATATATACTAATCTGACCACAACAAACATACACACAGGAAATATGAACGGAAAGAAATTAAAATGACTCCATTTTGACAAGGGTATATCTGCCTTCATTAACGAACAGTGGGTTGAACATTACAAATCAAACACATACAAATTACCTTTATTGGCGCTTATTAAACAGTCAGGTGAGTGAGATCTGACCTCGTGGGTGTATTTAAAGACACATCGGGTGTAACTGGACCTCCTTGTCGTGTTAGCTGTGTTTCGAGTTGTATTTGATTGTGCAGGCAATGTTGACCCAGGACATTACCTATCAAAGAACTTCATGCTTGTTCAATAGAAGAGTTCAGAAACCATTGTTACTACCATACACTTTAGATGGTAATCTTTCAATAAATATTCGGGATACCGCACGCCTTAAGCCTTTTGTATATAGTGTTGGTGGCTATTATGAACGGAATACTGTCAGGGACATTTGCCTAAGAGTATTTTGAAATAGGAAACTCACAAACACGAAAGGAAAATAACATATAATGACATTTGACTATGGTAAGTGTATTTGAAATAACTACAAATAAGACCAATAATAACCCTATTCCACTCTGTTAAAAACGTCACACAGTCCATGTACAGACTTAGCTTACTGAAGATATGGGACATACACCAAAGTAAATTTCTAATGGCACAAAAAGGGAATTTTCTGTGGCAGTCAAAACGAGTAAGATTTATGCTAATTAACAAATATTTCAATTATTTTTTTTATTTTGTAAACCGTGTAAATGACTTTCATTTATTTAACGAAATCTAGCTTCCTTGTTTGTATGTAAGTAAACAGGAAAGTGAGAGTATTGAGTACATTTCTGTTTCACTTAATCATCAGGCAATTTTATTATTGCTATTTTATTTATTTTTTATCTTTTTAATTTCAATTTGAGTGTATTTATCTCTCTTTTAGGATGAGTTAAATGAAGAACAGGTTGCTGGTAAGTGCTATCATTACATTTACACTTTCAGAGTTATTTGTTTTTTATGGACTAAGTACTAGGTACAACGCCAACAAAAATATCTGCACTGCAGATTTAACGTCCACCAGTGGGAGAATAATCGATTTGTTTCGCATCCGTGTGGAATATTCATACAAACACTATTTTTTAGTACTCACAACTGTGTCCAAGTCATCGTGTTGGATATTCAATGCACCTCCTCATTATGCTTTCGAGTGAAATATGTAGTGTTTAATTGTCCATTAAATATGCATCAACATGTTATTAAACATATCACATACACTTAGTAGTAAGAGAACTATAAGGAAACTGGAACAATTGAAAGTACTGTATATGTTTTGTTTTTTTTTTTTTTTTTGGGGGGGGGGGTCGGGGGGGGCGGAGCGGGGGGGGGGGGTGGGGTGGGGGGAGGGGGGAGTTGTGGGGCGGGGGAGGGGGTATATATATCAACCTATATCGCTTTCCTTGTATACAAAAAAAAGAGAATAACCAGTCCGATGAGCTGAACATAAAACGTGAAATGTAAAACCGATATATTATCTTCTAGGATAGCTTGTCAGCGGGCGCCACTTCTAGTGTAGGAAATACCAAAACGTCCTGAATACTTTCTCTTCTATTTATAAATTCGAACCAGTCATTTTAATATCCCATAGGTTCCTGGTTGTCCCAATAATATTTTTGTTTTGTGTATATTTACATGTATATATGATTTCCTAACTTCCATTAAAAGAGCTTGAAGCTGCATTCAGCATCTTCGATACTGACAATGATGGCTGTATCACCACTGATGAGCTTGCCACAGTGATGAGGAGTATGGGAGGCGTAACTACGGAGGAGGAGCTACAGGAAATGATCCAAGAGGCAGACGCCGACGGTAAGAATTGTTCAAAACGATACAGAAACAGACGCCGACGGTAAGAATTGTTCAAAACGATACAGAAACAGACGCCGACGGTAAGAACTGTTCAAAACGATACAGAAACAGACGCCGACGGTAAGAACTGTTCAAAACAATACAGAAACAGACGCCGATGGTAAGAAGTGTTCAAAAACGATACCAGGACAGACGCCGACGGTAAGAACTGTTCAAAACAATACAGAAACAGACGCCGACGGTAAGAAGTGTTCAAAAACGATACCAGGACAGACGCCGACGGTAAGAATTGTTCAAAACGATACAGAAACAGACGCCGACGGTAAGAACTGTTCAA